AGGCGCGTACCAACATTCTCTCTCTCTCTCTCTCTCTCTCTCTCTCTCTCTCTCTCTCTCTCTCTCTCTCTCTCTCACACACACACACACACACACACACACACACCGGTTCATTGTGTGTGCATGCATGTGGCCGTGTATAAAGGCATGGACACATGCACATGTCCTTCAACAGGAGGAAGATCTCAACCAAAACAAGATCGGCACATGCAATGTTGACGGCCAGCAGCATGTGAAGGACTAACACAACTGAGCAAAGAGGAGGAGGAGGAGGAGGAGGAGGAAGAAGAAGAAGAAGAAGAAGCAACAACAACAACGACAACAACAACAACAACAAGGAGAAGAAGATGAAAGTGTGTGAAGATGGGCTAAGAAAACTTAGACGCTTAGGGAGAGTGGAAGATTAGGCAAAAGAAAAAGAAGAAAACGAGGAGGAGGAGGAACACTTCTGGAGGGCGGGGAGACCATCGACAGAAGAAGAAGAAAAGAAGAGTGCCGAGGAGGAGAGAGGTAGGGTGGGTGAGGGGAATGGAACTTCCCCCGATTTCCTATGCATCTATACACTCACCTTATTCAGTGTTCCGCTCATCGGAAATGTCATTTGTTGAGCATCCGGGTTGCTGTTCCTTGCTCTGTCGCTCTCTACCCCGGTGTTGCCACTGCCACTGTTGTTGGTGCTGTAATTCTGATGCGCTGCCGATCCCCCCCCCGACAAAGCCCCTCGCTGGGCTAGTACGGAGGACTCAACATGCCTGCAAAGTCCTGAGCGACCAAAACAAACCCACAGCATAGGCAGGGAGACATCAATCAAGCACTGCCCTTCTTTCACACTTCCAAACGGTGAGCACGAGCTTTAGAAGGAAGCACTTGGGCTTTCAATACAACTTCCCAAAATGCCCTCCATACACAAGACCCCATTGTAGGCAAGCTTCACAAAACCCACCCATCACTCTTGGCCTCCAAGCCAACAGCATTTTTTCCAAGCTTCATCCCATCACTCTTGGCCTCCTTCCCCAAAAAGTACTCAGGTTCAAAAGCACCCCAGTTTCGGTGTAACTCAGTTTAAAAAATACCCCCGTTTCATACCTCTTGCACGTAGTCGACAGATGGCGTCGTGGTCAACCGTTGCCAACCAGGTCCACACAAGTTCCACTTGGTTCCAGGTGAACTGCAGTGGTGGAACTCGTCTGGAACCAGCTGGAACTCATATGGAACCAGCTGGAATTCGACTGGAACCAGGCACAATTTTTGTCTGAAACCAGGTGCCAGTCATCTGGAACCAGGTGCAATTCATCTAGAACCCGATCTAGAACCCGGTGCAGTTCATTTGGAACCAGGTGCAATTCATTTGAAACCAGGTGCATGTCATTTGGAACTGCAGCGGAGGAACTCATCTGGAACTCATACGGAACCAGCTGGAACTCGTCTGGAACCAGGTGCAATTCATCTAGAACCCGGTGCAGTTCATTTGGAACCAGGTGCAACTCATTTGGTGCGATTCATTTGGAACCAGGTGCAATCATTTGAAACCAGTTGCAAGTCATTTGGAACCAGGTGCAATTCATTTGGAACCAGGTGGAATTAAAATCTGGGACCGGGTGATATTTTTCCCTCCGGACCTGAAAATATCAGGTGCAATTCATCTAGAACCCTACTGGGCCTGAAAATGGAACTGGGTGCAATTCATCCTACTGGGCCTGAAAATGGAACCGACCAGAAAAGTGCATTGGATGCGCATACAATCTATTTCTCTTTATAATTATAAAGTAATAACAACAACAGCCCAGCTGTTAGTTACCTTTAAACAAGCTTGGATTCAGACGACGGGATGAACGGCGTGTTGCCAAGCTCCTCCCCGAGCAATTAATATTGATTGATCAATGTGAACAATCAAATGTGATCAACGTCATCAATTACTTAATAATCTGATATCCAGATCTGATCTGATCATCACATATGATAATCAGATAATCTGATATCCAGATCTGATCTGATCATCACATATGATAATCAGATACGATGATGAAATTTTATTTAAATCTGATGACCAAATCTGATAATCAAATACGATGACGAGATTTGACGATCGGATCTGATCGAACTTGTTATCAGATGCGATGATCAGATGTGATAATCGCATCAGATCATTCAGACCTATCAATCTGTTGATCATCAGGTCATCAGATCAGATCAGATCTAATCACCAGATCTGATGATCTAATCTTCAGATCTGATCTAATCACCAGATCTGATGATCTAATCTTCAGATCTGATCTAATCA